CTTCTTCTTCTTCTTCTTCTTCTTCTTCTTCTTCTTCTTCTTCTTCTCCCTCTCCCTCTCCCTCTCCCTCTCCCTCTCCCTCTTCTACCTCTCCCTCTCCTCCTCTTCTTCCTCCTCCTCTTCCTCCTCCTCCTCCTCCCCCTCCTCTTCTACAGATAACAGCTTACCTGACTTGTAGACAAAAATGCATGTGGCCAGAAAGCCCAGGAGGGCCATGAGATAATGGTAAGTTAGTCAAAGAAAGAAACACTTCAGAAAAATATTCTGAAAGAGGCTCTCCATTTCCAATCTAACAACTTGATGTGGAATGTGTTATGTCCTGAGCATGGGCGTTCGTAACAGAATGATTTATTTTTCCTGAAAAGCCAGTTATGAAGAAGGGCAATTGGAAGTCTAATATTGAGGATAAGAGGGAGAGATACAGTATGATACTCTTCACTTCCTCTAGGTTTTGTGAATTAGTGTGCAATTACTTAAATTTAGTTCCTGTACTTACAAGACGGGGTAGTGGGGTCCTTTGTGTATGATACATACATTGCAATGTCCTACCTGTCAATGAATACTTCAGCTTCAACCATAACAACACAAGAGCACACAATAGATACAAACTCAAAGTTAACCGCACCAAACTTGATTGCAGGAAATACGACTTCAGCAATAGAGTGGTCAATGTCTGGAATACTCTACCCGACTCTGTAGTTTCTTCCCCAAACCCCAAAAACTTTAACCTTAGACTGTCTACTATTGACCTCACCCCTTTCCTAAGAGGTCTGTAGGGGGCGTGCATAAGCGCACCAACGTGCCTACCGTCCCTGTCCTATTGTTTCTCTTATTCTTCTTTTATTTTTCTTATATGTACCCATTTCATGTATTCACAACTATGTATACACTTATACTTATTATCTTGTAAACAATTGGCAAATCAAATAAATAAATAAATAAAATAAATAAATAAATAAATAAAATAAATTAATATATCTTAAGCCTGAACTACTTAGATCATTAAGTGGGCCTAGTCCTCATTGCTAAAGTTGTTCTTTTTGTAACAAGTTGAAGTCCTTTCTTTTGGAGGGAGATAGAGGGAGTCCTAGAATAATAATGAAATCATTAAATCTGATTTCCATTATCCTTTCGGTGTAGAAAAGGCTGGCAGGAAATGAAAACACAATAGAAGCACACACCCCCAAGTTGGCAATTAGGAAGTATGTAACAGACAAAAAACATAGTGAACAATTATTATGGCATTTGGTTATTAGTTTAATTAGGCTTCATCAGAATCTGTTATCTTTGAAATGAAATTAGTCACAGAAATTATTTAAAAAGAAATTACAGAAAGAACAACTACTTAATCTGTCTGACTGACTTAGTAAAAAAATAAAATTTCTGCCAGTTTAATGTTTATCATTAAGATTCACAAACAATAGATATGGAACAATCTGCCTCTGAAGAAAACAGCCATCTATTGCAATTCTATTCTATAAAATCATGGAATAAAATTAGCTGCCTGAGAAAGAACATCTTTGAAGATTCTGGTGAAAATTAACATGATCTATAATTTTTAGGTTACTGGGTCAATTGTAATACAGATTTCAAAGTTCATCAATTTTGGAAGGCAGCTTTTAACTAAAAAAAAAACATATAATGATGTACTGAACATGTTGGGATTAAAATGCTTTCCAATATGTAAATTAAGAGAAAGGAAGAGTTATATTAAAAATAGCTGTTTTTTAAAAAGTAAAAATTTGAGGATTTTGTGAAAGGTTCTTTCAGAAATCACAGACTAAGTTAGAAATGGAATTTGGAATCAGCTATCAGAGCTTTGCAAGACACTCTTCCTAGAAACAACACAATCATATGAAGTATTTGCAAACTCATTTTATATGAGCATCCCCATGTGCTTAAAGCATTCTTTTTGATTTTCAACCCTTAATATCCTGGACTAAACATGGGCTAATATTGCCATCCTTTTATGTAATCTGACAATAATGTGGAAAGTTTCAGAAATAACACACTGAAATATAGAGGTTATGCCCATGGCTTTGTGCATTTCCCTTTAAAAAAAGGAATATGAGAACATTTAAAGGAATTAATGTAGAAAAACAACCTACAAGTTTGTTATTTAGCATTTTTTCTACTTCTGAAAATAATCGAATAATACAATTGCATACAAGAGGAATGGAAGGTGGAAATTAGATGAATGGAAAGCCCTGTATAGCATTTTTGTTCCTGCTGTTGGGAAAATGACTTTTTTTTCCATCCTAAAATCTAAATAATATCTAAACCTGAAACAAAAATCAAAGCCAATTTGAAAACTGCCAATTCTTACTGTGGGTTGACTCCAATTGTTTGATGAGAGTTGTTTCTTTTTAAAGATGCTGTGTAACTTCACCTAAAGCAGGGAGAATGAACCTTATTATTAGGGCTAGAATGAAATAAGGAATTTTGGAATAGGAGCCCAATTAGGAAGATTGGAGGGAGGGTCAAAGGGTGTGGATGATATGACATTTATATCCAGGTTCAGACAAATTGCAATGAATTTGCTCAAGATTCTTTAGCAACTTGTGAATTCTGCTGTCTTTTTCTAAGTAACCTGTGATTCTAAAAGACACTCTGGAAAGCTCTTGAATGCTGTACGAGTGCAAGGCTCCCAACCTGTACTCTGCCATTTAAAGACTGTTATGGGGATGAATTAGTCTGATTGGTGGAGCTCTCTCCTCCCAGTCAGGAAGCTGTGAGTTCGATCCTAGGCACAGGCAGATATTTCTTTCTCTGGGAGAGAGAATATATCTGCTGAATATAACTCTGCATTGGTGACAGGCAGGGTATCCAGTCAGTAAACATTCAGCTGCATTCAGTTGCCCAGACTCCACCCCTCAAGGAATTATGGGGTCATTAAAAGAAGGTGATGGGGATGAATCAGCCTGTATCTGTCACATTCAGTTGCATTCAGTCAAGTTAAATCTTGATATAGTCAAATAAGCCGGAATTTCTGGCTTCACATAACATGTCATTTTGGCAAATGTCTGAGAAAGGGGACAAAGTATCTGATGAATTCATTAGCACTGAAACTGATAGCACCAGCAATCTTGATAGCACCCATCAGCCATGACTCTGTTTCCCTTCCTGATGATTTACCTGAAATTGGTTTTTGTCATGGAACTAGTTTAAAGAGAGAGAGAGAGAGAGAGAGAGAATGCAGACTTGTCCTTGGGAATAGGCAAGGAATGGACAAACCACCAAGGGAAGAGTTTTAGAAAAGACCATAACCGAGAACCCGGTGTTGCCTGGGTATTTATTTATCCCAATCCTGTATTAGACAGGAAAATCCTGTAGTCCGACTCATGCTGAGGATTGAGAAGGAGCCCCCTTGTAGAGTAGGGGAATACTGTGAAGCCATTAACATGGCAAGTCCACTGTGCTATACAGTAGAAGCCACTTTAAGGTACACACACACCCTGAGGGGTGTTAGGAGTGTCTTATCCCCACAGTATTTGTTTCCAGAGGGTAAGTCATCTATGTACCAAGTTTGGTTGAACTTGCTTGAGGCATTTCAGAGTTATGCTGGAACACACACACACTTCTTGCTCACCCAGCAAATACTGATTCAGTATTTCCCCAAAAAATAACCCCGATCACATAGTTTCACAGCGAAGCACACGTATAGAGCTAGTACTAGAATATATATTAGTGAGGAATGAATTTCCTCTGAAATCACTATCAGGGAAGAAAAGAAAAAAAGAAGGAAGGGAGGAGGGAGGGAAGTAAGTAAGGAAGTAAGTTTCCACTCTTCTCAGCCTTCAACTGATTAAGAAAATATTTTTCCCCATTTTATTTGTTGGTCTTTTGGGGACATCAGTTCTTTTGCCAGCCTTGAACCATCTCAATGAGCTATTGGTAGCAATGTTTATTGACAATTAATTTGAACTTCTCCTGATACAGGTGAATCACAGATGTGCCACTTTGTACAGGTCCTGATAGATCACAGACAATATGTCCTCCAACATGTCCTAACGGTATGTACGCCCAAATTATTCTGATCATGTATTACATGCTGGCAACTCTACTGGTTGCAATATTTATAGGAACAGATGGTTCTTTATATGCTCTGTGGCCTATCAAATCCCCCAGTTGAGCCTGATGCAGAGAATACAGTTCCATCACGAGCACGGAAAGATCCAACAGCCAAGTTGATAAGCATCTAGTTTTGCTTCCAACAGCAAAAGCAAAAAATATGATTTACCATACCAGAATCGCTTCAGTCAAAATCTTCATTAGAGATGCAAAAAAAAAAAAAAAAACAACCCACCAAACAAACCCCAATAATTGGGAATTTGTAATTCTAAGTGCATGAAGTATTTTAAAAAGAGCATTTGGAACAGAACAGAGATGGTTTTGTTTTAGAACACCCCAATTAAGATTTTAATAAAATTATATTGAGCCACATAGGTTATATTCTGTTTTTGTTCCAGTATCACTGCTTTCCCCGCTCGCCTCCTTTGCCCCTTTAGCTTTAAACTGCATTATATAAATTAAGCTCAGCAAAGTTGATAGTATTGTTGCAATAGGACATTGTAAGAGGTTCCTAACAGAAGGCACTGACTGGGAAAGGATCTGATGTTAAATCTAAATCCATATTAACATTGGATTTTCACCAGAGGTGATGTTCAGCAGTTGACCAGTTGACCAGTTATGAGAACCGGTAGCGGAAATTTTGAGTAGTTCGGAAAACCAGCAAATGACACCTCTGACTGGCCCCACCCCCATCTATTCTCTGCCTCCCGAGTCCCAGCTGATTGGCTGGGTCTTCTTTTGTTGCCCTGCATAGGAAAACAGAGCTGGAAAGCAGGTTACTGGGGTGGGGAGGGAATGGGGATTTTGCAGCAACCTTCCCCTGCCATGCCCATCAAGCCACGCCCACAGAACTGGTAGTAAAAATTTTGAATCCCACCACTGATTTTCACAGGTAAGATCTCTTTCCATTTGTACCCAGAGTATTTTGATTCAGTAATAGAAGAGATTGAGGAATAATGTAATTGAGAATAGAAATATATATGATGATCCCAGAGTGGCTGCTATATATATACTCAATTGCAAAGAATCTCAAAAGTGGTGTTAAACTCAAGGTCCAGGGGCTGGATCTGGCCCATGGGGTGCTCAGATTTGGCCCATGGGGCTGCCGTGGAAACAGCAAAGGACCGGCCCGCGATGACTCTGCCAGCAAAAATGGAGCTCTGTAGGGCTGCTGGCAAAGGGTTGCGGGAGGCCATCCCAGCCACACACGGCCCTCCCAAGCTCCGTTTTTACTGACAGAGGGTTGCAGAAGGCAATCACAGCCAAAAACGGAGCCGGGAGCCCCTTATTCAGGCCACCACAGGTGCCCCCAACATGAGTGATGTCAAGCTGGCTACACCCACTTTGGTCACACACACCCCGAGGTCAAACACAACCCTGATGTGGCCCTCAATGAAATTGAGTTTGACACCCCTGGTCTAAACAGTATACCACCAACCCGGATTCATTTCTGTGAGATATAAATATAAATAATTTAAATAAATAAATAAAATATAAACCTCAGGGTATAAGCAGGAAGCATGTTCTCTACTTTGTCACCAACCTGCTCAATGAAGTTTTGTCCCCTCCTAAAATGTTATGCACTATCCTTTACCATCCAAAGGTTGCCTACCCTATCATAAAGGAAATAATGCATTTTCTTTTCCTCCTTGGACAATCATTGCTTTTTTAATTGCAGGGCTATTGTTTTACCCTTTCAGGAGGTGATAGGTTCCTTGCATGAAGTGCTTTTTTTTTTTTTTTTAAATAGAAGAAAGCATACTCACCCTCTTTCTTTTAATTAGTATGACTCTGCCATTAAGCCAAGGGATTTGGCTAAAAATAAACAGATAACAAAGATTTGTGTGGACAGTTTGGAATGATCTGAATTCTGTTCTTGACTAAGCCATTTTTAATTTTGAATCACAGCGGAAATGAATGGTTCTTCAAGACAAATAAGGAAAAGGGCAAATTCTGAAGACATCCACATTTTAAGTACTCATCTATTATTTGCCCCCAACTAGTAATTCTCCCCAGTACGTTTGAATGTAAATAGCCATCTTTCAAAGGTGCCATCAAGAGTTTTGTATATCTGTGTGCAGTTTGCACAGCTGAAAAAAGACCGTAAATAATGTCAATTCCACCATAAAGACAGATTCATGCAGCTGCCCGGGGCACTGTATCTGAGCAGTTTTTCACCTTCCCAAAATAGTGAGCAGGTCTGACTTCTTCAGCTGTTTTCAGTGTGTTTGGTTCTCTGCATTTTTGAGGGACCTCTCCAAATTCTAAGGAGTTTGGGGTTAGACGGCAGACAAATTTAAGGAGCTTAAATAATAATAAATGTTTTTATACGGAGCTTCTGAGCATGGTAAGAATGCAAATTGTAGTAGCAAATATTTAGCAAGTAAGTAGGCTTCAGGAGGAAGTATTCTACATGTATTCTACAAGTATTCTACTGGTAGAATCCCACCTCTGGGCTGCCCTTGAAGAGTATTCAGAAGCTGCAACATGTGGCAGTGAGGACAGTTCTGGTGTCAGTCACTCAGGACATGTGATACTTCTACTACGTGAATCACATTGATTACCAATATGCTTCTGGGTGTCATAGTATCTCAAGATTGATCATATTCCTCCAGAAGTTGTGGATGCTCCAATACTGGAGGTTTTCAAGGTACTTTCCAAATCTGTTATTATGTTACATGTTCATGAAAAAATACAACATGCAATGACTTTGTGAACCATCTCACCTGCTTCCTTTAGTCATATTGTACCAAGGGTAGAAAGGTTTTTTTCCTATCAGATAACTATTGAAGTTGAAGTCATTTAACATTTATATGCCATTTATTATTCAAACAGACCCATGATCCTTCCCCTTTGCCTTCTAACTATGTTCGGAGGATAAGCCAGTTTCTTTGTGGTCTATCTGTCTTATTATTCTGAGATTAACTATTTCTGTGCTGGCAATAGCAATACCTCTGCACAAATTACATTTGGCTATCTTAAAATATATCTTTTCTTGTTTTATAGGCTCAAAAAGGGGTAGGATTCTACCAGTTCACACCTATTCGCTAGAACCGGTTGTTAACATTCTAAGCAGTTCAGAGAACTGGTTGTTAGAAGAAATTACTGGCCTAATCCTGTAAGGAAGGCAGGAAGGAAACATTCTGGTGTTGCTTACAGAAACTGCCTCTCCGTTAACCCTTATTACATTCTTGGCAGGACTAGACTTCCTGTCTCAGGAACTTCTCTGGAGTTTTTTTTCCCTCCTTTGCTGGTACTTTGCTTGTGTGGAGTGACCATTCAAAGTTACAGTGGCACTGAAAAAAGTGACTTATGACCATTTTTCACACTTATGACTGTTGCAGCATCCCCACAGTCATGAGAGGCCAGGCGAGGAGATGCAGGACTCGATGTGAGTGATATTGAGTTGGCCACATCCAGCCAATAACATGACCACCAAGCCACACCCACCAACTAAGCCACACCCACAGAACTGGTTGTTAAAAAATTTGAATCCCACCCCTGGGCTCAAAGCATGTTTTGCCAACTTCTTGGTGTCTTTTCAGCCATCTTTGTGAGAGTCCCCTTTATAAAGGAACACAGTCTTGTTCTTATCCCAGATGCTGGCTATTTCTCACAACTACACTTTGTATGTCTTGTGGCAGCATGGCAGACTATAGTTAGCTTCCCTATTCTGCCTCACAGGCCTGTTGGCTAGATGAAGAAGTTGAAACAATTCTGTATTTTTTGCCTGCCTAAAGATGTCAATGAAGTCACCAGAATCAATACTGACCTAAAGGGCATTTTGACCATTGAAAGACAGGTAATAAATCTCTTGAACAAATAATAATTATATTTGTGTAGAAACTAGTGCACCACTAATCTTACTACCTTAAAAACTATAGATATAACTGGAAACTGATGCCAAGTTGGGGGTTCATTACATTTTGAACTTGTACATCCATAGGTGCAAATCAATGGTTGTACGTCAAAGTGTCAACCATCACATTGTGTAAACTAGCAAAGGAAACTCCTGGGACATCTTCTACTAAGAACTAGCTGATAACCCAGCATTGCCTGGGTATTTATTTATCTCAATCCTATATTAGACAGGTAAATCCTGTAGTTGAGACTCACATTGTTGTACTGTCTCTCGTACAGCATCGCAAGTCTTCTATTCCTCTCCTTGGGAGTTTCTTGTCTGTGCTGGTGTTTCATTTTTGTAGTGTTTGATTGCACTTGGCCAACTGCCTGATGTTACCCTGAAGGGCTGAAAGGGAGCCCCCTTGTGGAGTACTGTGAAGCCGTTACCATGGCAAGTCCACTGTGCTGTACAGTAGAAGCCATTTTAAGGCACACACCCCAAGGAGTGTTAGGGGTGTCTTATCCCCACAGTATTTGATTCCAGAGGGTAAGTCATCTAGAGGGTGAGTCATGGTGTAGGGTCTCCCGCTTGGGCGGGGGTTTGGACTAGATGACCTACAAGGTCCCTTCCAACTCTGATTATCTGTTATCTGTTATCATCTGTGTACCAAGTTTGGTCGAAATTGCTCAAGGCGTTCCAGAGTTATGCTGGAACATATATATAATATAGATCAGTGATGGCTAACCTATGACACGCGTGTCACTCGTGACACGCCGAGGCATTTTGACTGACACGCCTATTGGTGTGGGGAAAACCTGCACATTTAGAGGCTGCCTGTGCTCTGCTCCAATCCCTGCTCCCTGCTTGTTGCGTGGAGGCGTGGTGTCACCGCTGCCGCAAGATCTTTGCAGCAGAGAACCAGTTTTAACTGCCATAAACTGAGGTTTGTCAGTTTCATTACCTCAGGAACGCTACAGGAGGAAAGGAGATCCATGAGGTTCACAGCCCTGTAAGGTGGCCTTCCGATCCCCACATCCTGCACCTGCAGCCCTGAGACCAGGGAGACGAGTTTCACAGCCCTGTGTGATCACCCCAGCCCAGTCTGTCATAAACCAAATTATTGATATTTCTTGAAGTGACACACGACCCAAGGAAGGCTACACTTTTTCCCGATTTTCGACACACCAAGCTGAAAAGGTTAGCCATCACTGATATAGATATAACTTGAAGATTCCATATGGGTACAGAAGTGGAAAAGCCAATTCTAACAGTGTTGTGCGCAAACAGCATAGGAAAATTTCCCTTTCTCCCTTGTCCTCCCACTGTCCATTTGTCTAGCCAATCGGTTACTTTGCTTTGGGAATGGTCTCACCACCAAGGTGAGTCCAAGGCATTTACCAGCTGATGACATTGGATGCTGGATTTGTCTCAGGCTTCAAGTCATCATACTTGCATTCTTTTGCCCTCTCTGATACCTCCCCCTGCATTGCAATGCCTTCACTCCCCCCTCCTGTTGCTGCTGTCTGGTTGTGAGCAGAGTTGTGTATTGAGTCAACCATGACACAAGGACTAGCTTTATATGAATATGTAAGTATAAAGCAGAATGGCTAGTTGCCATGCTCCGTTCAGATGATATTGTGGGAAATATGTCATCTATATTTCTTCAGTTCTCTTCTAATAGAGAGCACCATCCAACAGGGGCTTGAAGAACTATTGCAACACAGTCTTTTCTCAGTCTGGCTCTCCAGAGTGATTTTCAGTGGTACTTCTCTAATGACTTCTGCACTGTTATCCAGGCATCTTTGGGCCCCACAAGGAAATAGATCTGATACTCAGTTTCTGTTCTGATACTCAACTGTGTTAAGAGTTTACAGCAGAAATTCTAAACCGAAAAGCACACACAGATGACTGATTCATCAGGATTCATTAACTTCTTTATATACATAATAATATATAAGTAAATGTTCAATACCAAAAGTAAAAGTAAAAAAGTAAAAGTAAAATATATATCATGAATTTAGGATTGGTTTAAATAGTTTCTCAAATATCCTCCCCTATTTTGTAATTCTTAAGAACTAAATATTTCAGTGCCTGGATTCATATATCATATTAAGCTGCTATGCAATTTGTCAGCTTCTGGCTTAATATGAAATATAAATCTAGCTATAGTTTGTAATAATTTTTATACTTTGTAATAATTTTTATCACTTAATGTTATACAAGCAATAGCTTGGCCTTAGCCCAATGTTTTAACAGCCTGTAAATCCAATCTCATAGTGACAGAAGAGCAGAAGTGATATTGTACATTTTATAAGTTCATTGAAGAAATAATATGAAATCTTCTACCAGGTGCATATGGTATAGTCCCAGAGGTGGCATTCAGCAGGTTCTGACCAGTTTTGGAGAACCAGTAGTGGAAATTTTGAATAGTTCAGAGAACCGGCAAATACCACTTCTCATTGGCCCCTGCCTCTATCTATTCTCTGCCTCCTGAATCCCAGGTGATTGACTGAGTCTTCTTTTGTTGCCCCACACAGGAGAATGGAGCTGGAAAGCAGGTTAGTAGAGTGGGGAGGAAATGGGATTTTGCAGTAACCTTCCCCCAGGAGTGGGGTGGGAATGGAGATTTTACAGTATCATTCCCCTGCCACGCCCACCAAGCCATGCCCACCAAGCTATGCCATGCCCACCAAGCCATGCCCACAGAACTGATGACATCCTATTAGATCCAGATCAGAGGTGGTATTCAGCAGGTTCTGACCAGTTCTGGAGAAACAGTAGTGGAAATTTTGAATAGTTCGGAGAACTGGCAAATACTACCTTTGACTGGCCCCGCCCCCATCTATTCTCTGCCTCTCAAGTCCCAGTTGATTGGCTGGGTTTTCTTTGGTTGCCCTGCCCAGGAGAACAGAGCTGCAAAGCAGGTTAGTGGGGTGGGGAGGGAATGGGATTTTGCAGTAACCTTCCCTGCCATGTCCACCAAACCACACCACACTCACCAAACCACACCCACAGAACCGGTAGTAAAAAAAATTGAATACCACCACTAATCCAGACGATCTGTTTCATTTGGGTTTCTGGCCAGGGTACAAAAATTGGAATAATAAATAAGTCTTTGGATATATATTAATCAAACAATCAGAATAGAGCTGGAAGAGATCTTGAAGGTCTTCTAGTCCAACCCAAGATCAAGGATCTTGGAGTACTCATCTCTAATGATCTAAGTGCTATAGCCCATTGTAACTACTTAGCCAAAAAGGCATTAAGTGTTGTTAACCTAATCCTACGTAGCTTTTTCTCTGGTAATATTACACTACTAACTAGAGCATACAAAACATTTGCTAGACCAATACTCGAATACAGCTCATCAGTCTGGAACCCACATTGCATATCTGATATTAACACAGTTGAGAAGGTCCAGAAATATTTCACAAGAAGAGTTCTCCACTACTCTACTCGTTGCAGAATACCTTATGCCACCAGACTTGAAACTCTAGACCTAGAAAACCTAGAACTATGCCGCCTTCAGTCCAATCTAAGTATAGTATATAAAATCATACATTGCAATGTCCTACCAGTCAATGAATACTTCAGCTTCAACTATATCAACACAAGAGCAAACAATAGATACAAACTCAGGGTTAATTACACCAAACTTGATTGCAGGAAATACAGCTTCAGCAACAGAGCGGTCAACATCTGGAATACTCTACCTGACTCTGTGTTTTTTTTCCCCAAACCCCAAAAACTTTAACCTTAGACTGTCTACTATTGACCTCACCCCTTTCCTAAGAGGTCTGTAGGGGCGTGCATAAGTGCACCAAAGTGCCTACTGTCCCTGTCCTATTGGTTTTTTTTTATTTTTCTTATATGTATTCATGGTTCATTGACAAACCAAATAAAATAAAAAATAAATAAATAAACCCCCCTGCTCATGCAAAAGACCCTATACAATTTGAGATGAGTGGCTGTCCAGTTTCTTCTTTAAAACTACATTGATGAAGCACCCATAACTTCTGAAGGAAAACTGTTCCACTGGTTGATTATCCTCACTGTTAGGAAGTTTCTCCTTAATTCTAGGTTGCTTCTCTCCTTGATTAGTTTCCATCCATTGTTTCTTTCCTTGCTATTTTTGGAAAATAAGTTGAACCCCTCTTCTTTGTGGCAGCCCCATCAAATACTGGAATATTGCTATCGTGTCACTCCTAGTTCTCCTTTACTCTAAACTAGCCATAGAACTGTTCCTGCAACAGTTCTTCATATGTTTTAGTCCTCAGGCCTTTAGTTATGCTAGTTGCTCTTCTCTGCATTTTTTTCCTAAAGACTCAACATCTTTTTTTGTAATGCAGTGACCAAAAATGGATGTTGTATTCCAGTTGTGATCTTACTAAGGTTTTATGAAGCAGTAATAATGTCTCATGTGATTTTGATTCTATGCTTCTGTTTATACAATCAATGATTGTTTTAGTTTTTTTGGCTGCTGCCGCACACTGATAAATGATTGTCTGTCAGAGTATATTCATGAACTGGAATAGAGCTTGGTAACAAGGTCAGCAAATGAATAGGCATAGCAACTAAGTCAGCCAATGAGCACTGTTTTTGGAAACTGAAACTAAAAGTAGCCTAGGCTGGAAACTGAAACTAAGAGTAGCCTAGGCATGGCTGTTTGTTAACTCTGCAACTTGCAGCTATGTTAAGCTCTGCAACTGTCTCTTGAAGATGAAACTAACTTGCTTGCTTGCTGAAGAATGGAGCTGTGCTCTGAACTTGCAACATGTTTCTGTTTGAGTTTGCTCCATGTTGGAGAAATCTACAACTGGTTTGTAAAATCTACTTATGTTTATAAAGATGTTAAACGAAGCACCAGCCATCTGTGTTTATTTTTCTTGCACTGAATTAACACTGCGAAACTCTCAATATTGTCCACTTGGAGTTAGATTTTTTGGGAGGGATTTTTTTTTGCAATGTGATTTAGTCTGGAGATACACATTCTTCTCTCTTTTTTATTTGTTCTTTCCTTTTAAATATAGTGTGTCTATCTGTCTTCTACTAAGTACTGCCACTATACCAGGGGTGTCAAACTGCATGGGCTGCATCTGGCCTGCAGGGCCACCCTGGAGACAGCAAAGGACTGGCCTGTAGTGGCTCTGCCAGCAAAAATGGAGCTTAGGAGGGCCACGTGTGCCCCCCACGAGCTCTGTTTTGGCTGGCAGAGGGTTGCAGGAGGCCATTGCAGCTGGAAGCGGAGCCCAGGAGCCCGTTTTCACTGGCAGAGTTCTCAGGCTGCCACAGGCACCCCAACACGAATTATGTTGAGCTGGCCACACCCATGCTGGCCTCACCCACTCCAGCCCTCCGAGGTTAAACATGCCCCTGATACGGCCCTCAGTGAAATCAAGTTTGACCCCGCCAGCTCTATACCATCCACTGGCTACTGCAGTTGATGCCATAAAATATGCTTTTGCTAAACCATCTAAGCTAAAGTTTATACCATTGGTGGAATTTGAATTTTTTTTACTACTGGTTCTGTGGGCATGGCTTGGTGGTGTGGCAGGGGAAGGATACTGTAAAATCTCCAGCCAGAGGTGGTATTTGTCGGTTCTCCAAACTATTCAAAATTTTGCTATTGGTTCTCCAGAACTGGTCAGAACCTGCTTAGTACCACCTCTGGTTTATACCCAGTAGTAGATGAAGCATTCTTCAAAGTCTACTAAACTGGACTTTTCTGAATGGGAGGCAGCAGTTCCCAACACAAAACGCAACATCCTTGAAGTGAGAATCAAAGGTGTTGCTTGTTCTTGAACCATGTACCATTCTCTGCAAACCAGTGATGGTATTCAATTTTTTTTACTACCAGTTCTGAGGGCATGGCTTGGTGGGTGGGCTTGGTGGGCGTGGCAGGGGAAGGATACTTCAAAATCTCCATTTCCACCCCACCCCACTGACCTGCTTTCCAACTCCATTCTCCTGTGCAAGACAACAAACGAAGACCCAGCCAATCAGCTGGGACTCAGGAGGGAGAGAATAGATGGGGGTGGGGCTAGTCAGAGGTGGTATTTACCGGTTCTCCGAACTACTCAAAATTTCTGCTACCGGTTCTCCAGAACCTGTCTGAACTGGCTGAGTACCACCTCTGCTGCAAACGCTGAAGAGGTGAAAATGTATCACTTGATAATGTAGCTCTGCATGTGTAATAGTTCTGCGTGTCCTTAAGGAAATGACTGCATTTAACCCAAAGGAACACAAGTAACACAAGGATCTGTATTTCATAAAGCTTCCCTTATGGTGTCTAAGGTTTCTGAGGATATTCCAAGCTGTCCTTAATCGACCAAGCCTCTACCGTCCTTCCAGAGGCTGCAATCATTCAAGGTACCTGTGAAGAAGTTCTCAATATGACAATTTACAAGGCATAACTGGCGGGCTTCTCCCCCACCCTGTACATAAATAAATAGATATATAAGCCCTGTGATGCCATCTCTTCACATACATTTTTACAAAACATTTATAAAGGCCTTCAGACAACATGGATCTCTACACATTGACGAAATTAGTGTTAAGTAAAGAATATAATTTGCTTTCAAACTGTTTACAAAAGAATGAGGTATAGTGTTCTTGGGCAGCTTAGCAGGGAATGAGACAGAAAATAATATCCTGCAGAATTCACTGGGAAGAGAAGGTAAAATAGTCACACCGTTCAACAGTGCATTTTGTCTGAAAGTCTAAGTTATATTGATATTACTATTTATAAATGCTTTCAAGATATGAGAAGTAACATTAAAAGTTTTCTGTATAATTGTATCTTGGTACTCATTGTTAACTGGTTCTAGGAGGCGCAATGAGTACCAAAAATGATGAGTACCAAACAATTTTTTTTCATAAGGAATAATGTAATATGTCACAAGGCATCAAACAGTAACAAGTTCTAGCTTGTTATCAAGTAAATGATGAGTACTGGGACAAAATGTTCATGTCAGAATGCATTGAATACCAAATTTGATGAGTTTCAAAGCAGTTAAGTACCAAGGTACCACTATATTTGCAGATATGAAAAAATGTTAATTAAATGAAAAATAACAATAGAGAGCTGATCAAATTATGGGAATATGAGTTTGTGTAGAGACTAGCTAGTCCATTAGCCTCCTCCATAATGTAGGATGAAAAATGTATGCTATTTTTCTTTATTTAAAAATGCATTTTAGCAAGGTTTAACACCTAGACTTCATTTGGGAATAAAGAAAAAGCAAATGACAACATGTTATTGTGAACAATTGCAGTTTTTAAATTAATGCAGAGCAAATAACATGCTGATGAACAAGTGGATGGTTTAATCTAAATAGGAACCATAATGTGAATATCTTTCCCTTTCTTTCCAAAATTCGAGCAGGCCACAGTAAACAGGCAGAAGCTAGTTGCTGGGCTGTAAAAAAAATTACACTGACAAATCCCAGGAATTCTATATTATAGATAAGCAAACCACCTTATTTCTTAAAGCAAATGAGATGCCTCCCCCAGGACCATTTAGAGGGAAACAGTTTGAAAAATTACCTGAATATTTGTAGTACTTTTTACCACTCTCTTTGGTTTTCAAAAAAAAAAAAAAAATGGTAGTGACTAGGGAGATTGAACAAACTTGGAGACCTATGAAATACCTGTTTGTTCCTTGTATTCAGCCTTGGCTAATGAGCAACAAAGTGCTGAAACAAAAAGGCTTTCAAAAACTTGAATATCCTTCAACAGGAATGGGCCATTGTCTGTATTAATAAAATTCAACAGTGATATGCTTTGCCTATCTGGTTTTAATAAAACAATATTGCTAAAACATGGTTTGCTTTTGTTAATATGGATGAAACCAGTGGTGGGATTCAAATTTTTTTTACTACCGGTTCTGTGGGTGTGGCAGGGGAAGGATACTGTAAAATTTCCAGTCAGAGGTGGTATTTTCCGGTTCTCCAATCTACTCAAAATTTCCGCTACCGGTTCTCCAGAACGAGTCAGAACCTGCTGAATACCACCTCTGGATAAAACCAACACTCTCTCCTTTAGACTCAGTAATAGCTGAATATTTGAAAGTACAAGCATCAAAATTTTGTAAGTATTTTCAACAAAACTTTCATTTTTGGGAAAGGGAGAAGATGCCTTCAAATCACTCTTGAGTCATGGCAACTGCCTGTATATGTTCCTGCTGTCAACTCATAAAATATTTCTCTGGTCTTTTAAAGTTGCCAACAGAAAGGGAGGATGGAGCAGTGCAGCAGCTTGCAAAACTGAACCTGCATTTCATAAATGTTTTCAAATATAGTTTCTAGGTGACTGAAGTTTCTGCTGTGCAAAATTCTAACTGGAGAGCATGATTGATGACTCTTGGCTATGGATGTGTCCCATTGGAGAAAATGAATTATGATACACCCAGGGGTGGGGGGAAACTAGGGTTAAGGGTGACAATGAATGATGTGTCTCAGAGTGGGCTACACCCAGGCAGCACTGGCATGTTTACTCCTAATAAATCTTTAAGTTTTGAAAATTCAGCTAGATTAAATCTGACTCATGATTTAAATGGGGGTAACTACCAGAACCCTGACACCTGCAGTTATCTTAGCTAGCTTTCAGATGTGGTTTGTTATTGCCTCCTTCCCAGGGCTGATAAGGAGTGACTGGCCTAAGATCACCAAGGTGACTTCATACCCAAAGTGGGTCTAGAACTCATGGTCTTCTGGTGTCTTAACTGCTGCCTTAAGCACTGCACCAAACTGGCTTTATATTATTCTCACATTGTGGATATGGATGCTTTATAGAGGGAATTTTGTAATATTTGCTTCTACCCAGTCAGTATTTTGGAGAGAGCAACACTTGAAGGTGGATACGATATGAATTCCAATCGTATTGGCATATTGCATATTACAGCTCATTTATTTTTATTTCATGCCATTAATTTATTTTATCCTCCAGCACTCATTTATCTTAATGTTTTAAATAAATAGACTGCATATTTTTGATGAATTCATAATAGGTGGATTTAACCCTAGCGTATAACAAAATGGTTGCTTGCAAGCACTTAAATTCCTTGGGATGGAATATTAAGTCAAAGATACCAACCCATTGCCTTCCAGATGTTGGAACCACAATCCTCATAACACACTGCATAGCCTGTAAATAGGAATTCTGGGAGCTGTAGTTTGGAGCCTGGGAGGTTCCCATGATGTCCAGCATTGAATGTGTCAATTTACTTCTAACTAAACATGTAAAAAACTTAGACTGAGTTTTACATACATCCTCCAAGCAGATGAAAACCAACAAATATATTCATTTTCCTTCCCAGAGGGAAAAATAATAAACTGGGGAGAAAACTTCGAAGAACTATGAAGGAGAAAACAAATAAATCTTCCACCTGCATTGTCAAATATAACAGAATAACAGGACAGAATAACAGAGTTGGAAGAGACCTTGGAGATCTTCTAGTCCAACCCCCTGCTTAGGCAGGAAACCCTATACCATTTCAGACAAATGGTTGTCCAATCTCTTCTTTAAAACTTCCAGTGTTGGAGCATTCACAACATTGTTCCACTGATTAATTGTTCTAACTTTTGGGAAATTTCTCCTCAGTTCTAGGTTGCTTCTCTTCTTGATTAGTTTCCATTCATTGCTGTTAGGCTTTCCTTCAGGTGCTTTGGAGAATAGTTTGACTCCATATATACATGGATATAAATGGACTTGCATATATACTTATGCAAATCCAATGGATGTGTCTAGAGTCACATCTACCTTGGTCCATAGAATTGCATTCTAGTTTCATAACAGTTGTATAAGTGCTGTAGATTTGACTGAGATAAAGCCAATCCCTTCTTGCAGTACCTCTGTGGGGCTTTATAGCTGA